ACTGGGGCCCTGGAATCCTGGGTGCAGGGGCAAAAAGGCTGTTCTGACATTTGAGTTGAGCCTTGCCCCGTGCTGCCTGTGAGGCCACACCACCCACCTCCCTACTTCTGCCAGGATCTCCCCACGGGACTATGTTCCCCTCTTTTCCCTAGAGAAGAGGTCCAGTGAGGAAGAAGTGGGAGCTGAGAAGGTAGTCTCCTGGTTGTTTCCAACAATTCCTCCCTAGTCCTGCCTTAAGCCCCAGCTCAGACCCTCTTTGAGAAATGTTCTCACACTGTCACCTATAATCATTCATTCATCCAACAACTCCCTACCCTGCGCTAGTTTCCAGATCCCTTGCTCCAGCAAGCATACCCTGGCCATGCAGGCCTCACAGCACTGAGAGACCACACTCCGTGCCACACACTCGAGCCAAGTGTGCATGGTTTGCAGTATCCTAGTCACTGCTTCCCTGTGCCACATCCCTCCGCTAAATGAAGTGATCCCAGAGGCCAAGGATCAAGTCTTTTATACTAGTAGGACCTACCCCATTAACCATGCTTCTCTCTCAGTCAAATAATCTGAGTAGACAGGGTCTACTCAGGAGCTTTCACTGGAGTCTAAGAAGCTTACTTCCCCTGAGGAGTCCCAAGCTGGGTTCTAGGCTTTTCTGATGGCGTAAACCTGGGATGAGAACACCAAGTTCCAAGGGCTGACTCTCACTCTTGGGCCTGAGGGACAGATCGAAGATGATAACCCAGCTCTCCAGATTGGAAACTCTGCAACTTGATCTGCACCATGCACTGGGTGGTCCTGGATAGGTCACCTCCCTGCCAAGGGCCTCAGTTTCCCCTTTAGTCAAACAAGGTGTGCGTGGGAGGGAGGTGGGTAGAGTCTCTGATCATCACTAACGTGTAAGTGGTGATGTTTACCTTGCCTAAAAGGGTTAAGCCCCAGTCCCCTCCATTTATTACAATAAATAGCACTAAACTGGCTGTGGTTGATAACTGTATGGAGGATGCTTGAAGGACTTCTGATGCATTTGGAGGTGGGGTCCCTGTGCGACTGCACCCAGAGGCCTTACAGCATTTGTGCCAAGCTCAAGTAGAAGCGTTTGTGGGAGCCTTGGGACCCTGGGTATCACCAGGGAACTAGCGGGCAATACAGTGCTTCAAGCACTGGCAGCCAACCCACACATGGAGTGTGTCCTGGCAGGGTCGTCAGGACCACTGAGTCGAGCCCAAAGAGGGCAGAGGATACATCAGGGGGTTGGGGAGGCAGTAGAGCCTCCTACTACAGGGCCCTTGCCAAGGCTAGCAGCAGCCCAGTAGAGGAGGGCTGGGCCAGCGCGGCTCAGAAGGGCAGGTCCTGGCTTAGTCCTGCTTGATCCTGAAGAGTCAGGCCTACCTTCTGTCCTTCCCTATTATGTCCATTCTACCCTGCTCATCTTTCAGGGCCAAGCTAGAATCCCTCCTCCTTTACCAAGAAGTATTCCCTATCCACCCTTCCTAGGGAGGCCTACATTTCTCATTTCCATTCCCTTGCTAAGGGTCAAGCCCTACAATGCTTTAGGTCTTCAGACCACCCCTGCCAGGTAGGTGCCATGTCTCCCATTACATGGATAAAGACACAGGCTTAGGAGGCCAAATAACTTGCCTCTACAACCTGTGACGGCTGATCCCAAAGCTGACACTTCCTATCCAAGGCCATTTGTTCTGGGCATTCCCCAGACACCACTTAAAAGTCCTTATGTCAACACTTCCTTGCACTCTCAGTGGCTTTGTGTAGATCCTGGAGGAGGCAGCAGAGATAAAGAGACTCAAGACCCATCTTGACAAGAGCCCAGATTGTTTTCCCAAGGCGGAGACCGTGTGTGTGTGTGTGTGTGTGTGTGTGTGTGTGTGTGTGTGTGTGTTGGAGAAGGAAGGGTACAGGCTCCTGGGTTGGGAAGGCCTATCTATTTGGGCAGGGAGTGGGAAAATTCCTGGACATAGTGGCATTTGTGGGCCCATAAACATACTGAGTCCAAGTGGTAGCAATGACGGGGGCGGAAGGAACTGCTGGGGTGAAACCTAAAAAATTAAGGAGATGCCCAGTCCCTCAGAGTCTAGAGACAAAAAGAGTCATGGGCAGGAGGCTGGTGGGTGGCAGGTTGCAGTGGCGATCTTGCTCTTCCAGGTGTCCTAGCTTTTCCTGTTCCTTTGTGTGGCATCACTGAGCTAGGACTCTTTGGCACTCGTAGGCTTTCCATAAAGATCACTGAGCTGACCTCTCCTATGCCCACATACAAGATGGGCACCTGCCAGGGCAGGACCCCTCCTTGCTGGCTGCAATTTGCCTACCCCTAGGCCCCACATCTTCCAGCACAGACACCTCTGGTAAGGTGGGTGGCCCCAGACCTTTACTGCTGAACCATCCCTGTAGCCGCCGTGGAAGCCCCCATTCCCTAAAGAGGATTGATTTTCCTCCCATGATCTTAAGCTGTGGCTGAAGCCAGCCGCCAGCACCCGAGGATGTTGTGAGCCTCAGAAGTTAGCATGTGTACTTACTACCCACTTACTCTTAATTACCTCCCCTCCTTATTTGTCTTCCTTTAACGGCCTGTCAACCAAAATCTCCCGCCTTTCAGTCAGTGCCAATGGCCTCAATTAGGTGCACATCTGTGGAGGCTGGAAGTGAAGAGCCCCACTGCCAATGCCCTCTCACTGCACCCAGCCTGCATACAGGTGCCTGATGGCCTGGGCACTCTTTGGGGACAGTACTGCTGTCCTGGTGTCAAAGGGCAGAGAGACTGCCCCTGACATTTCTCATGCTGCTATTGCAGAATCTTCCCTGAGAAGCATTCATGAACACCAGGGGAACCCTGAGGGTACCCAGGAGGGTTAATACCCTTTGTGCTGGGGCCATGAGCAGTCATTTGTTCAGCAAACGGGGTGGGGGGGAGACTATTTGGGGGGCAGCCTTGCTCTGATCATGAGGAAGCCAGAGATGGTAGAGACAGGTATCAGCAGAAGGGGCAGGTTAGCCAAGGCCGATTCTTCTGTGCAGAAGTTCCTCCCCTAATTCTGGCCATCCTGGGGGGTCTGCTCTGCTTGGGGAGGGAGGTAGTAGGGCATCTGGCACAAACATCGGACTCAGTGAAGGCCCTGCTGTTCCCCACAGAGCTTAGCCTCTGCCGCTCACCAGGCCTTAGGCTGTCAGCTATTTGGGGCCTAGAGCCTTTCCCCCTTAACTGCTTTCTCTGGATAATGTTTTGGGGCCTCATAGTTGGGGTCTATTGATATCCCTCAGTCAGGAGGAGAGGAAGTGCTAAAACTGCTCCGTCATAAAACTAAGGCTTGTGAGGTGGGGCACAAGTCAGCGTAGTTCAGGCAGGACTAGGGAGCAAGTAAAGATTGATCTGAGTCCTTTTTCTCTGTTTCTTAGTCCAGGGACCACCACTCTCCCCTCTTCAACCACATATCCTCTTCAAGCTGCCTTGTGAATGGGAGGTGGGAGACTCTTCCAGAGTCTTTTGCCCAGGAGGTGACTGTCCCTCGCTTCTCATGTTCAATCCAGGCTGTGGACAGATACCGCCGGGGAGTCTTGCCTTGTGCCAGGCTAGCAGGGAGATTCTCCAACCTGCTCCTGCCAGGGCCAGAGGAGGGTCCCAGCTCATTTCAGGAGGATCTCAGGGATGCTCTCTCCCAACTCAGGGTGTTTTCAGATTATCAAGCAATCCATTTCCATTCTCACTTCATCCTGGAAATGGGGGTGGGCAACCGCAAAAGCTTTCATAAGGGAAGAAACTGACACCAGCCCCAGCCTTCTCCCTGTGGTGGAAAAGAACCCAGGGTCTTCAAGACAAAGAAGGTGGACAGTGCAGAAGTGAGTTTCCTGGCATTGCCAGGAGTCTGCGAGCCTTGGGGGCTGGGGCTGGGACTGGTCTTGGCCCAGGGCTGGCTTAGCTCAGAGAAGAGAAAGGAATGTCTACAGGAGGATGTGTCCCCATTCTCAGTCCCTCGTGATGCAGCTGGACCCGAGCTCCCCGGGGAAGCGGGGAGACCCAGGCCCTTTGTTTCAAGACCACCCCCGCCTCACCCCCATCTCGGCTCCTCTCCTTGAGAGAACTCCTGAAGAAAACTGGAGCCACTGGGGATAGGAGTTCACTCCCGCGGCCTCTTCGGAAGCCTGCTATTCCACCATTAAGTCGGTGACTCCAGACCTTAAGCCTGTTGAAGGTCGAGTCCCCCACGAAGGGTCATTTATGCGCCTGCCCTGGACGCTGGGCCGGGGACTCTCCCCCTCGGGAGCGTCCAGGAGAGGCCCCGGGTCTGAGACCGAGGGGCTGGGGCGCACGCGGGGAGCTTGGACCCGGCTGGGCTCAGGGCGCGCGCGCACGGGCTCCGCTCGGCCGCGCGGGCCAGTAG